CCTATGATGAAAATTACAGGCCTCTCTCATCTTTTTAAGTGGGAGAACTTGCACAATTGGTGACTGACTAAATACTTTTTTGCCCCACTGTAAGCTGACCACTAGTGGCCTCTGGCTGGCCTCTGTTGGAACAGAAGAGCCTGTTTGGCCTGATTTGGTTTGTTTATTCTACTATGATGAGCTCTTACCTTTCTGTGACAGGGCCCAAGCAATCCTACGACTGGGAGAAACCAATGCAATGCTGAGAATGAGAATTCCTGATCGTGAGTGTCGGGGTTTGCCCCACTGATCTAATGCCTTTCCATCTTTTCTCCCTCCGATGTGTGAGATGGCTGAAACATGAGCAGGAGCCTTCTGTGGTGCTTCCTTGCCAAGCCCGGTTCTGCCGCACTGTGGTGCTGTGTGCGCCATTTAATGCAGGACAGTCGAAGGACAGCAGCTGGTGGCTTCCTCCAGCTTTGTCACCAGTACCTAATGTGGGCTGGGGCAGCTGGTCAGGGACGGGAGTCAGGATCTCCCAGGCTTTTCTGCTTGAGCAGAAGATCCAGGAAAGCTAGGGGTGTTGGTGGTATCTGGCCATTGTTTCTCCTTTGTGAGTTCCTCCCCCAGCACCGCTTTTGTCTGTCCTGATGGGGTCCTGTGAAGACACAGTGGACTCCTGGGTGTGCCTTAAGCAATAGACAGCATGCATTCATGCCTGTTCCTCTAGCTTTTACTGGCATTTTTCCCAGGTTGAACAGTGAAGGATGTGGACTGGGGCAAGGGCAGGACTTGCAAAACTGGGTCTCCAACCGTGCAGTCCCTCCTCCTTCCCTGATTGCCATTCCCTGTGGGGTGAAAGCAGTAGACCAGCCTGCCTCCTGGAGTCCTGAGTTCCATCCTTGGAGGTTTTCTTTTTTTAATAATATTTTTATTAAAAATTTTAACTACAGTAATAAGCTATAATACAAACTAAAAAGAAAAAGAACAATAGAAAGAATAAAAGGTGCAAAAAAAGAGACAAAATAGAAAGACAAAAGAAAAAAACTAGGAAAGTGATTTCCCACCCCTGTTACAAGTATAAACAATTTCACTATCTCTTCACTTCCTCTTAGTTCACAAATGTAGAACTCTTCATCCCATAACTCAACTCTTAACTATAGGCAAGTCCAATAAACAACATATTTTCCAATCCAGGTTTCAGCAAATAGTCCAAACAGAGCCCTAAAATGATCACATTTTTTAACAAATATAAAACTCATCATTCCATATCTCAACTCTTAACTGTAAGGAAATCCATTACACTATATTTTTTCCAGTCCAGATATCAGCAAGTCCAGAAAGAACCCCCCAAAATAACAGCATATCCCATTTTAACCTTGATCAAATAAGCTATCAGGCTTAGCCCAAGAACAACAGGGAGGCAATCCAACCAAGTTCATATCTGTTATTGCTTACACCATATAGACAAATCTTGCCAGGCTAAATCTGTACTATGCTAACCTAACAGACCCTGAGAGATTCTAGGGAGTGCCTATCCTGTCTCTTCCTCTTCCCACACTCCTGCTCTGGACTGTGTTGCCTCTTGTCTATCCCGCTTCCTTCCTGGAATGTGCTCCCTCCTTCCTGAGAACCTGGTTCTCTACTCCACTCCATCACCCCAGCCAATTTTATATTCCTTTTTTTTTTTTTTACATAAAACAATCTTGCTCTTTAATCCATTTGAATGATCATTATCCCTTGTCTCAAATTTCTTCAAAACTTTCACAAGCCTCTTCTGTAAATCCAGCAAGAAGAAATTATTCCAATTACTCTCTTGAATTGACATTTTTATTTTCTTCTTAATTTTTAGAGCCTCATCCGATTTTTTTTTTTTTTTGGTATATTCAGTGATAAATTCTTGTTCACGTTGTTCTCCATAACATGTCATCTTCTGGTTTAACAGGTTTTTCTGGGAACAGAGTGTTCATAAAAACACACAACATAGCTGACAGTGTTGATTCAAAGTCCCATTGCCATTCCTTAACAATATCTTCCAACACTATTATAAGTTGCTTATCTTATGTCTCCAGTATGAAAAATAATTTTCCTTTCCCATGAAAATGCATTCATTCTTTAAAAATTATTTCAGAGTCTTAATATTCAAAATCAAATATTCCAACTTTTTCTGAGCCCTTAATCTGTTTAAAACTTTTTATAGCCAAAACCTTGTCTTGCTTTTTGCTGTTTATTTTGAATTCTTAAAGCTCATAAAGATACAATATCATTTCTTATATTAAGGATTGAAGGCACTCACCTGGTGTTTCCAACCTTGTCATTTTGAAGGTGCTTAACCTTAAAGCAGTCAACAGGTAATTTCTGAGGGTGGTTAGCAAAGGAAGTGTGGACTTATGTCCTTTTGAAGGCTCCGACAGCAGCTGGAACAGGAAAGGCAAATTCCCTCGACTCCCAGTTTTCCCACCCTCCAGAGACCACTGCCTTGCAGTCTCCTCATGAGACGCAACCATATGGAGAACAACATGGGCAATCTCGCGTCCTCTCTTTCTCCAGAGAGGGTCAAAGGAGCTGATCTACTTCTTAGCCACAATCATCTGCCATTTCTTTCTCGGAAGTCCCATCCTTGGAGGTTTTCAAGCAAAGATTGGAGAGCCATTTTTCTGGGATGGTCTGAGGATTCCTGCTCTGGGCAAGACCTCCAAGCTCTCCTTTCTTTGCCCACTGGAATCTAGCACCCGGCTGCTCTGGGACGCATTCAGTGAGCCAGCAGCAAGCTTCCATGACATCCCGCTGAGAAGAGAGGCTTCTTCCTGCACAGTAGGGAGAGCAGAACCTGGCCTTTTGCCCCCATGAGCAGCACCAAGAGCCCTGGGAAGGAGGAGTTGGCTATCATGTTCTTGGCCCTTGGCACGCACAGCCACAGCAGTGAGGCCTGGGCTGGTCTCCCAGCGGCTGAGCCTCCTTTGCTTTCTCTTTCCCTGTGCTCACACATGATCCAGCCCGTCTCTCGCTGTGTCCCGCTGGACCTCACTCTGAAAATAGCTGATGGAGGGACTGTTAATAGGGGCAGGTTGGTGGACTCCCTGCTTCTCTTGCCCCCCTGGCCTCACACTCATCCTCTCTGCTGCCCCACTGCTGGAATGGCAGTCAAAAGCTGCAGTGCCAGTCATGTTGCAAAGGGAAGATTACCTCCACCACCACTATCCCCACCCACCCAAGGCATTTACCAGTTTTAGAGGTGGGGCTGTGTTTTCTGCCAAGAATTTTAGGAACCTTCTGACTGGCAAACTGGGAGAGGTGCAAAAGCTTTGCCAACTGGGGCAGACTGGAGGCCACCTGGGTGACTTCTAAGTCCCAGAATTGACCCATGGGATTGGACACTGCCCCTCCATGCACCTCTCCTAACTCCAGCAGCTCAACAGCTGCAAAGGCCAAGAGAGGTAGGGAGTTGTCTGAAAGAGCTGACAGGTGTGCAGGGGTGGGATGACAGGCATGGCAGGAAGGAAAATGGTGCTGCCCTGAACCCCTGACTTATACAAGCCTGTCAGCTGATAGGGATACAGTCTGCCTCCTGCGCCTGTCAGCATTTAAGTTTGGCTACTCAAGTTGAGCAGTCTTCTGACTCTGCCCTACACTTAAAAACAGCCCAGCTCATCACAGATACATGGGGGGGGGTGCACAAATCCATGGAAATCTCCCTCCAGCCACACTGCACATGCTTGTCGACGCCTGAAATGAATTAGGCAGGGTGATCTCTCTTTGAAGGCCTCAAAGCTGCGATCATCTTGCTTGTCTGTCAGGTACCAGGTTGGCAACCAGCAGGAGTGACTCCTGGATGCAGAGGCACAGTTGAGGTTACAGGTGCTTGAGGACAGGACGGCTCAAGTGCCCACTGTAACCTTTTCTGTAGCAGCGGTCACCCAGGCCTTGGTCACTTCTCAGATGGATTCCTGCAGCTTTCTCTGGTTCTCAAGTTAGCTTGGAGTCTAACCAGCCCGTGTTCGTGGCCTCAGCATCTCTGGAGGGCACCATGTCAGGGCAGCTGGATCTACTGCAAAAGGCACAGAACATAGGGCAGGGGCGTCCGCGGTGGGGTTTAAGAAGTCAAGATGGCCACAACCATCCAGTTGAAGTCCTACCCCATTTTCACGTGCATGTAAAAAAGGGGGCATGGCTTCAATCGCACGGTTGTGGCCGCCATCTTGACGTTCTTGACCCCCGGCGGACATGCCTTGCTGCTGCTGATTTTTGCTGTTTGTCTTCTGTTTATCAGTGAAGGGGACTCTAAGCAGGGTACAGAAGCGAGAGCTGCAGCTAGTGCAAGAGTAACAGTGAAACGCAACAAAGAAATGCGATATACCATGATGGATAAAAAATTGCAATTAATACAACGTCCCTGTACCAGGAGTTCCACAACACTCGAGTTCCCAAGGTCTCCCAGGGCAGGCCAGGAGCCCGGAGGTGCCCTTGCCTGGGGGAGAGGGGCAAGCAGTTCCACAGGAGGGGAGCCTGCCTTGGGGAGGCTCGGGAGGCGGTGGGAGAGCAGAGTGGGAAGGGGTCTGTTGGCAGCTTAGCCAATGGCAATGCAGCCCTGGGCAGGAGAAACCTGGGAAGAAGCGTTGCAGAGTGTCCCAAGGGAGTCCACGCCAGAGTTTTTCAACCTTGGCCACTTTAAGTGGACTTCAGTTCCCAGAATTCCCCAGCCCAGAATTCTGGGAGGTGAAGCCCACACACCTTGAAGTGGCCACGCTTGAAAAACAATGCTCCATGCTAACGAGCTCACTAGAAACAAGGGCTGGAAATCCCAAGATTCTGTGTTTACCCCAAGACCAGCATTCCAGGCGCCTTACTGAAGACCGCGCGGCTCTTGCTTGCTCGAGCTTGCCGCCAGGGATGCCCATTTTGGACTCCCCTCCTATCATGCCTCGGCAGGCCTTCCTGGGGCTGGCAGAATCTGTAGGAGACAGGGACCATGAGGCTCTTTGGCCGAAAGCCATCCCATAAACGCTAAACTAGCCACAGAGTGGGCATCGGTTAGACCGCTACTTAGGCGCCACGTGGGCACCAAGAGGAATGTGTGTGTCTGGCCTTGGACGGTAATCCGGTTTCCTTCTCTGCTGCCTCCTTCCCTGCAGGCTTCTACTTTCCGTACGTCTTCCCGCGTTACCTCATGAAAGGCTTTGCCCCCTTCATGAAGCTTCCTCTGCCCAAAATCACCTTGCGACCCTTCCCGTCCCCTTCGAAGAGGCCGGCATCGCCAAAGACTTTCACGGCCGCGCAGCAGCTGGTACAGAAATACTTCATCCCGAAGCTTTCCTACGCTGACAGCTACCCTTGACGATGCGGCTGGCTGGCTGGCGTGCGAAGCTCCAGGAGGGAGCCAGCGGGCTTCCCGGGGCCCGTTGCGGGAGAGCCGCGCGACGCCGGCCTGGCAGGGCTTCAAGCAGCGCCGACTGGGTGTGGTGGTCGAGGGGGCTCCAGAGGCTTCCGGGCAGCGGGGGAAGGGCCCCAATAAAGCGGACACAGCACCAGGCGGTCTCACGCGGCTTCTGTTCCGCCGGCCGGCTGCGGCCGCGTTCTCACACCCCAAGCGCCGCGGGGGGCGCCGGGCTCGCCCTCGCCCTTCTGCTCCCGCAGGCGGCGGCAGCGCTGCTCAGGCCCCCT